TATCAGAGTGAGGTTTTAAGTTGAATTCTCTCAACTGCAACCTCCTAGTCCTAATTTATATTGAACGCCACGTGTTCAGCTCCAGTGGCGGGAGGCCATTTGTGTGGGGAAGTTTTTAGGATATAAAACAATTTTTGCCAGAACATTCTAATCGAAATATATAGAAATGGTGGTCTAACACCTAAGGAATAATTTCTTTAGTCTTCTCTTGAACGTTTCCTTTTAGTCAGTTACTTAAGTATATTTAACTTTTACATTATATGAAGGAGCAACAAGTAATACGACATTTTTGCGGGTCTCACTAGTATATGAAATCATATGCAGGTCCTTTGTGAACAATGTTTGGTATATCAAGATACTTTCTCCTGAGGATGTGCACAAAATGGGGCACCAAGCAGTTGAATCCTTTAGCCCAAATACAGGTCAAAGGTTGAACAGCAGTGGCGGTGAAGGGCAAGACATTGTTTCAGGGCTACCATCTCTCGGCTCGCTTGAATATTGAAATTTGTTGATTGTATGAAACCGTTCCACGTTCTGCTTCTAGTCCGCTTACTATGGGAGAAACTTCCGGTTGAATGCATTAGCATGTGACATGATGCTCAATGTATTTCTCTGCATTTCCCTCCCCTCTTCCCCCTCTTTCGGCGTGCATTTCCTCGGTATTGTATGACTTATCTTTCAGGGACTATTAAGCTCTGATGAAAAAGATCTTTATGGTTAAATATATTTGAACTTTGGAAAATAGTTAAACGTTAAAGATTTGTAGCATCGTATCCTTTTATTTTTCAGTTTCTAGCTGCCAATTTATGTCGTTTGGAGTTCCTAGGATGCTAAAGAACGATAGACTCGTGATGCATGTTGGCTTTTTGAACCTCTCTTGCCATCGCATTGGACAATTCTTCAAGATCCAGTGCCAAAGGATGCAGTTCTGCGATCCTTATCATCCCAGGAAAGCCTCGCCTCTTGGCTACATGTATGTTAATGCTTGGAGGTACTGAGCCTTGTAAATTGTACCAAGAAATTCACCAAGGTCCGTAGTCGAATGCAGACTCGAATATCCTCAAGGATTCATCAATTTGATCCATTGAGTTTGCGTAGGCGTTTGTAAGTTTTTGATGGGCGAGAAACTGAGACGACCTTACGATTTGAAGGTTTATCTCAAGAGTATGCCTCATTCGATGTCAATGTGTGAGGTCTTCATCCGAGTATAGAGGATTCGGGACAAAGTAGTCATTGACCAATTGATTCTGTATCTTGTGTTGTCGGCTTCGCAAGAAACAACACTTGATCGTGGTGCTAATTGGCAAATTGTCTTTACAAAGATGAATGCTTTTGACATACATCTTCAAAAACATGAAGTCAAAAACTTGTATTTAAATATGACAATGGACGGAGGAGGTACCTTCTACATTGTTTCTACCACGTCTTCTAAACCTCGAATATGTTTGTCAATTCTTCAAATACAACTGCGAAAAGAAAAATAGTCAGAGGTATCACAACACTCGAGAAGTGTTTAGTGGTTTCTCAAACTTGAGTGTGTGTTGTGAGAACACGATAAACCTCACGGGAAATGAAGGAGTATGTTCGTCAATTCATCCATTATTTGTTTTGCTTACCTATAAGTTGCTGCCGAATTAATTATTCTGTAGCATATATTGAGATTAGATTGAGGCGACACCTTTTATGTTGCTTTTATCTAGGATGGTGAAGCTGTATGTGGCCAAGTTCTTCTTAACAACAGTCATTTTCCCGTTTAGGGTAGAGGGTTGGTGCCTCGCATACGACTGTTGACTCATCACTAATCTTCCCTAATCCTTGTTTATTTTCATTGAAAAAAAAAAAAAAAAGCTTCTTTCTTAACAAAATTCACATACATCTTTACTATCAAAAGATATAAATCACTTCCCTCCATTTCTTCTAGCTTGCGACACCGTTTTTGTCTTGCTTTATCCAGAAGCACTTTATTGCATGCATTGTAAACTTGTCATCACCACCTCAATTTCAACCAGAAAGCGTTACATGCATCAGAGAAAGAGAGCATGCATCGGACAACTGTTCAAAGAAAGATGCTCAGTTTGTTTGTTTGTAAGCACATACGTAATTATATACTCAGAGAGAAGAACCAAAAGATATAGAAATAACACCATGGATTACCCTGTCTTTTACTTCAATTTCAGCAGCAGCAGCTTCAACCTTCCCTCTCTGCATTACCAACGTTGCAGTACTACTTCTTGCAGCTATATCGTCGTTAATTTTTGCATATTTTTTCATCACTTATGCAGTCCATGGTTACAGAAACAAGAACTGGAAAAACTCGCTGCTGGGACCTGTTGGATGGCCGATACTTGGGAGCCTTCCTCACCTCAGCATTCGCCTGCATGAAGATTTATTTAAGCTATCAAAAATTAATGGTCCACTCTTCAGCCTAAAATTGGGTTCACAGCCCGTCATTGTGGCATCTTCACCGGAAATGACATGCCAGATCTTTCGGCAACACGATGATGTTTTCTGCAACCATATCGTCACTGAGGCCCTTCGGGATCATGTCATACTAAGGGGTATCCGTTATTTTTTCCCCGGTGGGTATGCGGTGGAGAGTGCTAAGAAGAATATTGGCGGAAAAGGTGTGCTCTCTTAAGGCCCTGAAGACTTTTGAACCAAATCGCAAGCAACAGGTTTGTCCGTTGCATCTAAAATTTTACCTGCTCGATGATGTATACTGCTCGGATAAACTGGTAACTGCAAAGATTGATCTTCAATTCCTTCCTAGTCCTAAATATTGAAATGGATTTTCACACGTGACTATGTAAGCCCTCCATAAATTACACTTAAGAGAGAGTTATCAATTTTCTATCTACGCGAGAGTCACGATCTAAGCGGGTTTAGGCGGGTTAGGTGGGCGCCTAAGCAGGTCTAGGCGTATTTTTTTAATTTTCAAGCGCCTAGTGGCCATCCGTCTAGCGCCTAGGCAGCGCTAAGTAAGATTTTTAGAACAGTGCTTACAAGTGAAAGAGAAATACTACAAGATCGTAGTACTAGTGGCATGATCCAATTTCATTCAAAGAACAAAAAAATTTCAATGATTTGTATCAAGATTGTAGTTTTTAATATTTAGCTTTGGTCTGTTGGAGGGAGGGAAAGTTTTTCTATATATCTAGGGTTTCTTCTCTTTCATTGCTCTAAACGAGGGAAGAGTATGCAGCTTGAAAGAATAACAGTTGACGACGGAGTGTAGTCTTGCGTGTCTAATCCTCAATACTTATGCCAATTCCAGTTCTGGATGTACTCTTTCCATTTCTTCAATCAGTCTTGAATCTTTTGTTTAATCGTAGGTTCATGGGGGTACTGAAGCAACTCTATTAAACTTCAATGTCAAAGAATCATGTGGCCATTAGGGAGTGGGCTTTCTTCTCCTTAGCCAACCTTATGAGTAACCTTGTATGTAGTAAGAGCCTTTTCGATTGCACAAAAAAGGAAGGGAGAGAACTAAAAGAGACAATGAGGGAACTGGCGAAAATTCTCAGGCATATCCAATGTTGTTGTTGTTGATTTCATCCCGTTATTCAAGATCCTCGAGAATTGAAACGGAGAACAATAAAGAGTTTCCGAGATAGGATGCTTTCTACGATAAACTTATCAACGAGAAGTTGGAAGAGAGGAAAATCAGAATCCAAAAGAGTATTAAAAAGGACAAGCCGGACTTATTAGGTGTGTTACCGGAATGGAGAAGTGATAGAGATGACGAATTGAAAAGTCTTCCTAGAAATATCATCAAGGGATACTTTTTGTGAGTCGATCATCCAAGTGGTAGTAATGACATATTTGTTGAAGAGACCGACATTGCGAATCTACCTTACCTTCAAGCGGCAGTGAAAGAAGTTTTCCGGCTCAACCCTGCAGCCCAGTCATACAGCGTTGCACAAACGAGGCATGTGAGGTTTCCGAGTATCATATTCCTAAGCTTTGCTTTGCTCTGGTAAATGTTTGGGCGATTGTGAGGGACCCGAGTATTTGGGAAGAACCTTTCAAATTCAAACCAGAAAGGTTCATTGGTTCGAGCATCGATGTCAAAGGCCAAGACTTCTCTTTGCTGCCTTTTGGGAGGGAGAGAAGGGTATGCGCGGGATGGCCCCTTGCTCATCGCACGGTGCACTTTTACTTGGCAGCGATGCTCCATGCCTTTGAATGGGAATGTGCTCCTGATATCTTGGAGAATATGGAAGAAAAAGTGGGACGTACAATTCAAAAGGACAAGAGAGTTCGGCTGTCGACTTCTGTTTACATGTAATGTTCTGTGGTAGACTCTTGCACCATTAGCCTGTCAAATAAAAGAGCCATGGATGTAGTTAGAGTTTACAAACTGAGGCATAACCTTATGGTGGATAACACTATTTGTAAAGCATGAGGTTTGGGGTTCAGAACCCGCCACCGTAATTTGGACAAGATGTTTTGTCCTTTGACAATGGAGGGATGAAGAGTTTCGAACTTAGGACATCTTTTAGCATTGAAAAGAGAAATGATACTAGACCAAAATAGCTGGTTATGTTTTTAATGAATCGTATAATACATATTGACTAGTTATTCATGTCCTTAAGAGCTAATTCGAGAAAACGTGAACATTATTGATTAAAAGGGAAAAGAAACAATTAACATTGAAGGTAATTGGACTAGTGATCACTGAATTTTAGCTCAATTAAAGTTTTGTTCGTTGAACTAAAAATGCATAAGCATTAGTTCTTGAACTTGTTTTAATATAGAGAGATGATAATTTTCTCTAACTCCATTAGAACATCAATCCAAAATAAAGGATTTAAAGAGAGAAAAAAAAAATAGATAAAAGTTCTAACAGAATTGATAAAAAAGATGATTACTCTATATCATAATAAGTTCAGTAACCAATACTTATGAATTTTCAATTTAGAGACCAAAACTCCAGTTGAGTCAAAGTTCACAATTGCTCCAATGTTCCCTTTTAACATTAGAAAATCAGATCATAGAACATAATAAATTACATGGTAGAATTTTTTAAATTTTTATTTGTGTCTTTTATCAATATTTTTTAACGACTTTATGCGAAATCAGATTGCCTCCAAAATCGAAAGTATTACATGAAATCAAGCAGGAGAGCTCTGACAATTTTGGACCAATGCCTCACAATGGCGCATATCAGGCAAACTCAATCCCACCTCACAGTTTCCGGCACCCTTTTCGATCCTTACGCAGCTGCCAAGATCATCGCCTTCTGTTCCGAATCGAACTCCGGCGATTTACGCCATGCATTTCGACTCTTCCGCCACATGCCACACCGGACCACCTACATTTGGAACGTCATGATCAGAGCTTTCGCCGAGAGAAATGAGTCTATGAGAGCTCTGTCTCTCTACAACGACATGATTCAGAGCGGCCTCCTGCCCAACAACTACACTTTCTCCTTTCTTCTTCGAGCTTGCACCGACCTCTCATATCTGTCAATGGGTTTGGTGCTCCATTGCCATGCAATCCGGTTGGGGTGGGAGTCGTACGATTTTGTGCAGAACGGGTTGATCCATTTGTATGTGACTTGTGATTCCATAAACCCAGCTCGGAAACTGTTCGATATGAGCGTTTATAAAGATGTTGTTACCTGGACTGCGTTGATTAATGGGTACGTGAAGTCTGGCCAAGTTGAGGTTGCACGGGAGCTGTTCGATGAAATGTCTGAGAAGAATGCGGTTTCGTGGAGCGCTTTGATTAATGGATATGTGCAAGTTGGGTTGTTCAGTGAGGCTTTGGAGCTTTTCGTTGATATGCAGGTTTCCGGGGTTTTGCCTAACCATGCCGGGATTGTTGGTGCACTCACTGCTTGTGCTTTCCTTGGTGCACTGGATCAAGGAAGGTGGATACATGCGTATGTGAGCCAGAAGGGGATGAAATTAGATAGAGTGTTGGGCACTGCTCTTGTCGACATGTACACAAAGTGCGGTTGTGTTGAAACTGCTCGTGCTGTGTTTAATGAGATGCCGAGTAGGGATGTCTTTACTTTCACTTCTTTGATTTCAGGGCTTGCAAATTGCGGTGAAAGTGAGAGCGCCATTTCGTTGTTCGTGAGAATGCAGGATGAAGGAATTGCGCCCAATGAAGTTACATTCATATGCGTGTTGAGTGCTTGCAGTCGGATGGGTTTGGTGGACGAGGGACTGCGAATCTTTGAAAGTATGAGCAACACTTTTGGGATACAGCCAGGGGTCCAGCACTATGGTTGTTTGGTGGATTTACTGGGAAGAGCTGGTATGCTAGAAGAGGCAAAGAAAGTTGTGAGAGAGATACCCATGGAACCAGACTCGTACGTCTCGGGTGCATTGCTCAATGCTTGTAGGGTTCATGGAGATGTTGAGTTAGGTAAAGAAATGGTCGAGCGCTTGTCTGGGAAAAGCTTAGACCACAGTGGCGTGCGTGTTCTTCTTTCAAACATCTATGCCTCCGCCAACCAGTGGGACAATGTCACAACGCTGAGGAAGGGAATGGAGGAGAAAAAGGTGAGAAAGGTGCCGGGATGTAGCTCAGTCGAAGTCAACGGCGAGGTTTTTGAGTTTGTTGCCGGAGATAGGTCGCATGTGCTCATGGACGAAATCACGTTGGTGTCGCTTGCGATTGACAAGCATTTGAAGTCTTTTTGGATTGATAGGGATGATGACAAACTAACCGAATAACTCAAGTTTTAGCAGAGTTGGTTTCCTCTTTTACAAACTAATTTATCATGGAGGATGCCTCTTAGGGTTGCCGTCGGAGGCAATTTCAAAAATCAGAGAAATCGAAATTTGTCAACTGCTCCGATGAAGATCTGCGAAAGAACTATACCAATTACACCAGTCTAGCTAACAGGTACCTAACACGATTGTCGATTATTTGAGCTACGTTTACATGTTTCAAAACTTTCAGTTTACAATTACCTGAAAGTAAGGTACCAATTAAAACGACGAGACATTAACCCAACAACTAACACTGATCTCAAAAGAAACACTGTTTAGAAGTTAGACCTATCATCCACAACGATCAAAACTCGACCTCTCCATTTATAGCTCACCCGTAACTCATAACCCATAACCCATCTCCTTATGACTTAACAATCTGTTGATCATGGTTCCCATTATTTAACTGCCCTCGTATCACTAACAGAAGGCTCACTGCAAACACATTAAGATGGTCATCTATCACCTACGAATTGATAAATCAAACAATTTCAAGCTATTGCAGTAACATATCCTTTGGAAGAGACTTTAAAAAAAGACTTAGAGTACTTGGATCTAACTGAAGACATGGCACAAAACGAAGCTGAAGGAAGACAATAAAACAGGAATACATTCTTTTCACCTTTGCCAACAATACATGGGTTTGAAATGGAAACTTAAACATAGATAAAGAGTGAGATGACAATAATTAAGTCGTAAATCGATAAATACAGACCACAGCGTACGAATTAAGCTTATTTGATCGCCAACCCACAACACAGTCACAAAGTTCTCATCGTCCAGAGGCAACATTTTTCTTTAATTATAAGATATTTATAGAACTACCAATTTGCCGTCATCGTCATCACTATATTCACACAGCGGTGGCTTCCTTGACTGTCGACGGTGGTGGGGAAACGGAGTCAGCGGTCACCTCCGGAATCTTGACATACCCCATCTTCTTCGGGTTGAAGTCTTCGAAATCGTCATCGGAAGAGCTGGAGCCGCTGTCGTGGCGACTGATGAAGACGGACCAAGCCAGGAACATGATGGCGGCGGTGAGAGCGCCGCAGCCGACGCCAAAGAGTAGCGAAACGACGACGCTCAGGATGTCCTTGGTGCGATCGCGGAGGGAGCTGAGGTCGTAGGAGGAAGACCCCGAGTCCGTTCCTATAACGGGAAAGAGCGGCGCCGTCTGAGTTCGCTTCTCGCTGGCAGCGTCGTGGTGAGGGTGTGGGACGAAGCCATCGTCGAATCGGGCGGGGTGGAGGTGGACGGGGCGGATCTGGCTGATCTCGGTGACGATGGTGACGAAGCCGGAGGAGGAAGAGGATGAGGGGAGGCGGCGGAGGGAGAAGGAGTAGGAGGAAACGAAGAGGGTTTTACAGGGCCTTGATGCGGTGGCGGAGATTGCGAAGAGGGAGAGGAGCGCGATGAAGAGGAGGAGAGATCGTTGACTCGTTGACGCCATGGTTACTAGCACAAAGGAAGACGGCGAGCCTCTCGTTCTCTCTGTCCTCTCTTCTTTCTCGTTTCAATTGGCAAGTTTCAGGCCCCAAATCATCTACTTATATTACCCTAAAAAACTTCAAATAATTACAACATTGTATTATAATTCTAATTGATCCTTGTTAGATTTATATTGTCCACTTTGGGGCTCAGCACACCGTTTTGTTTCTGGGAACTCAGACGAGAACTTCCGATGGATCACCCAGGAATGCTCTAGCGCACTTCTTGCTTAACTTCGGAGTTTCAATGGAACCCGAAGCCAGTGAACTTCCAAAAGACCTCGTGCGAGGTAAAGATGAGAATATACATATAAGGATCACTCCTTGGACGACGTGGGATGTCACATTCAAAATATAATGTGAAATATTTCTAATTTTTTCGAGTTTCCCAACTTTTTAAAAATCTTTTCAAATCAATTTCTAAATGAATACATTTGGAATCTATGAATTTCTTAAAAATTCTGATTGAATACCCCTTGAACTTTAAAGAATCACTTAAAATCCTGATTGAATGACTTTAAGTTTTTAAAGAGAATTAAAATGTTTATGAACCCCAATTGGATGTACCGCTTAATTTAACTAATTGACACAACACAACAAACCGAGTTAAGATTACAAATTAACACAAAGATAGACTCGTTGTGAGGTCATATCTAAAAAACTTGCCGCCATATTATTAGAAATCAAACTTAAAATTTAATTTAGTATAATTTAGTGTGAAATAAAAACAAAAACAATCAAGTCTTATTCTACTAAATAAAGCCGTTTGTATAAATTTTAGAATGTCAATACACTTGATTTTGCATCAAATTTTCTATTAGCTCCAAATACTTTATACGTTTAAAAGAATATAATTAAGTGTGGAATACCTTTAGGATAAATTTACATTGTGTTAATTAACTAAATTTACAAATTGACTATTCATTTTTACTTTTTATCTGAATCTGACTTTTCTGTTTTTTTATTTTTTTATTCTATAAATTAAAAGGAACTCGTGAAATGCCATCCTCGACCTGCCACGCGCGAACCCCTTTACTACCAACTACCAAACGAAACGAAGGCACAGGAAACAGAGCCACCATCGCAGCCATGGCGAAGCGAGTCGGCAGCCGGAACTCGAACGAGTCCGCATTGACTCGGGGCGTCAAGTCGGTCTTTCGCTTCGTTCGATTCGCCGAGTTCGAAATCCTCTTTGTTCTTTTCTTCGTAATCGCTTTCATCATTTTCAAAGATCTCGTAAGTTCCCAGTTCCATTTTTCTCAAATTTCTTCTGATTCTTTGCTTGAATTCTTGATTTTTGCATTTTGGTTTCCTAATTATCATTATATTATGTTAGTTTGGTTAATTATGTAACTTAATTTTCTAAAAATTGATTCTTTTCATATAATTAATCAGCTCATGTGATATGTTAATTTTAGGGACTAACAAATTGTACAGATTCTTTAAATTATTGAGCAAATGGTTTGCTAGTGGTTAGTTTTAATCAATAGGGATAGGGGTATTCGAACTTGGGACCTCTTGGGGTAGAGAAGTACCATTAAAGGTTCAATTTTTCTTGCAAGTGGATTGTAGCTTGAAGTGGTTAAGAGCGTTTATCTTTGCACCTGAGGTCCTATGTTCGAATCTCCCTCCCCCAAGATCGATGGTATAACAAATTAAGTAACTTTATGAAAGAAGTGTTTGGTTCTGGTTACTTCCGCAGGCCTTACCCTCGAAATGATCTTTTGATCCCAACACTCTTGTATAAAGGGATTGCAATCTTAGTCTACTATATTCGGGTTGCTTAGGTAGGAAATGGCGTGGCTCTCGTGAATGTAGACAAAATGAAGGTTTTAACATAAGTAAGAAATTGAGGTCTGTCCTACATCAGAAAGTAAACTAAAGGCTTATGCATTTCTAGGAAGCTAAGTTTAAAAGAAAGTATTACAAAATGGTTCTGGTTTAATGTAAGTTCATAGGAAAAGAAAAATTCCCCAATCATCCTATGGAAACCTATACCTAATTCAATAAGCCGAAATTTGATTTGATCACAGAATGCATTGTGGTTAAATAAGAATAAACGAAAGCCGGCAAAGAAGTTACCATTCCTAAGTTAACAAGTAGAGGAGAAACCATCCAAAGATAGAACTAAATATCAGAATATGCCAATTACACTGCCTTAATTTGACACAGAGGATTCATTTCAGTCCTAAACCTCCCAAAGAAACTATTGCATAGAAATTTATAAGAAAAATGAAAGGATAACTAAAAATGATGGAAAGAAACCTCCAATAGTCCTAACACTATATGGTCAACCGTTTTGAAGCCCTTTTCCTCATCATCTTCTGCGTTTTTACAACAAAACCCATAGGTTACATTTGACATCATCAATGCAAAAAATGCACCAAGTTAACCTTTCCACACTTTCATTTATTTCAATATACGGAGAGAGACCTAGATAGTCATCCATGTTTTATCCTGTATTCTTCAGAATATATTGTACTGTTTTGTTTCAAAGCTGTTTCGTGTCAGTCAACCCTATCCTTGAGGTTTAAATGAATTTGAAAAGTTGGAATCCTGGTAGTCGTTGAAGAGAAATAAAAGAAGAAAATTACGTCCGGATGACAAATGTGTAGCAATGAAGTAGATAGGCCTATATATTTGGTCGCCGATATGAGTGTGGCAGATTGATCTATACCTAATAGAAAAATAAAATTAGGTTGGACGGAAATTTAGGCTGGTATATACCTATGTTAGGCTATGTTTGGGCAAGGGGTTTCCATGTCCTGAGGGGGTGATGCCAAGTTATTAAGGAATTGATCAAAAATGTTAAATAGGAGGGATTACAAAAGCCCTCCATGACCATTACAAAGGCATGTGAGAAGGATTTGCAAATCCCTACTTAGAAGGCGTCATTTGCAAATCCTTCCTAATACCTTTGTGATGATCATGGAGTGCATTTCTTAATCCCTCCTATCAACTTTTTGTGATCCATTCCTTGCTAACTCGGTCTCAATCCTTTGGAACTTGGCAATTCCTCACCCAAAAATAGCAAGGATTTTTTTTCAGTTTCAACGTGCTTTTCGTATCCTTTTCTTTTTGTCTAATAACCTGCATTAAGTATCTTCAATTGGTTAAGTGTTTTGGTGGATCAGCATCTTAACAATTGAACTTGTAAACTGCAGACATCAAAGCCGGAATACAGTCAGATTCTCGTAAAAAAGCCCGGTGGCGTTAGTATTTGGCCTTACTAGCGGAATATGTCATCGTTGGATAAACATTTGGTATATCATTCGGATTTTCTTGAACTTTTTTGTAACACAACAGATTATCTTGCCATCCATGCATTTGTATTTGTATCTGTACATGTAATTATATGACGATTAAACAACAGCTTTCAATATTTGTCTACGGGTTATTCGACACCAAAATTTACAGGGCATTACGCAGGCATAACATAAACGTAGCGAAAAACAGAGGGGGAATATCGCAATGAAGTAGATGAACGAAGTACATCAAGTGAACAAATCGAAGTAAAATAAATAAACCAACGAATGAAACGAACAAATCATTCACCGTTGTCATAACAACCAGGGAAAATACAAGCAATTACAAACTATGAATACAATGTATAATACAACCAAAAGATTCTGCTGTTGAGCACTTAAGTTGCAACCACTGACTCGTCAAGGGCACAGGGGGTAATCAGTCTCTCCACCGATACTTTCCTAACATCGCGGCGTATTCCGATGTCAGAAACCAATCTACTAACACAATACATGCCACAACCTACAGCACCCAGACCAGTAAAACTGGTAGTCAAAAATCGAAGCGGTGAAGAAACAACAGCAGTTGCGGCAGCTACGAAGGAGGCAGCCTGTCCACTCCTGCCCACGCTAATGCTGGTGAACACGAGCAAGCCTGTTTTGCAATATATGGCGAAATCTTCACAGTTGTTTTTGAAAATGTCATAACTACCAAAGCCATTCTGCAGAAGGAAAGAAGCACGGTGAAGGACATCTTCGGGAGGGTCAGACCGCGCAAGGGTACAGGTACCCCCTCTAGCTTTGGCAACAAAGAAAGCTGGAGTGACACCATATTCAAAGAGGTAAAGATAACCGCCAGATAGAAAACAATCGATGCAAGAAGACATGACACCATCAACTGTTGATAGATTGCCGCAGTTTGGGCAGGGATTGTCCGGAGAATGGGATGGAGAGCTGCTTATGAGGAAGCGGTCTAACACAGTTCCTGTGCCAATTTCCTGGCCCGCTCCTCGAGTGAAGTGAATAACCTTTCCTTCACCAACATATATCCCTGAGATCACATAGCAGATAAACGATCAGCAATGCCATGTTTTCCATGGTGATTTAAATGCAGGATTTAAAAGTTAAAAAAAAACAAAAGTTCTCCTCATACAATAACAAAAACTGATGGAAAGTAGAAGGACAAAACACTATGCATGAAAAGGAAACTGAACTGCACAAGTTTGCAACCATCAAAACTACAGAAACACAGGTATAGAACTAAAAGTCTAAAATGCGACGACTCCTTGGTTACCTGCTCCAAATGGAATTTATAACTTAAACAAACCACTCAATTCTCCTACCTCATCCTATCAATCAAATATTGGGTTCGTATTCCAACAGTTCAGTCTCATAGTATTCGCGGGCGCGTGTCTGTGTCTGTGTGTGTTTGCCGGGGGGAAGACTGACCCAAAAAAATAGTTGGTTAACATTCTTCTAGTCAAAATTCCTAACTAGTGCTGAATATGCTGATCCATTAACTAACCATGCAAGTTGCTTGACCGTAAACTCAATGTTGTCTCTCAAACCATTTTCGTCAGATAAAAAAAAAATGAACTTCTTCACTGTTAAAGCATCATTGTTTTTAAATCTTTTATTTTCTTCCGACTGTTGCTATTCGAATTTTCGTCCCCAACTTGAGCTGAATTTAAGCTATGCCATTCCCCTGCTTCAACAATACTTACTTTACTAGCAACATTCACTTAAACAAAATATAAACAGCAACCCATTGTCACCTTCGAGAAATATACGAGGTGGATCCAATGCTATACAAATAACGCATTCCGCAAATTATACGATCCCAGTGATTAACAACAACAAAAAGTAGTAGAAATGAATGACATTTTCAGATAAAACTAATGGGATATTGTATTGTGTAATCAGAATCTAATCGTATTGTGATCACTAATGAGAGAACAAAATCTAGTACGAACTAACCCATATCACTACCAATTGAAAATAGCCTCAGATTTCACCAATCATAAAACTGCACCGGAAATTCCAAACCCAAATGACCCAAATCCAAAAGCAGTAAAAACTGGAATTGGGCTTTTTGGGTGTCCAAAAATGCCACAAATACCAATTTGCACCAAAAACAAAGAATAAAAATCCAACCTTTTGATGTTTCAGCGCAGGAAAAACAGACCCAAAGACTAAAGCAGAAAATCATCACCAAAATATGCAAATAAACAAATAAATACATATAAAAAATAAAAATAAAAGGAGGGAAAGGAGAAGAGGAGGACCGTGGTGGGCATAAAGGTAGGCGTGGCGCCATGAATAGATGTGATCTCCAGGCTTCAGAAGATCCCTCTGGATCTTGTTCGACAGCACTCCCATTCCTTCTCTCTCGATCGAAACTGTAAAGTTGTGGAATTGGAAATGGAATGGCGAAAACTCAGTTCATCCCCAAATCAGAAAAGAAGAAAACTGAAATGGGGGAGTTTTCAAGCAATCGCCTTTCCTTCGCCTGCAAGTCTCTTTCTTTTGCGCGCCTGCTTTTTCCCCTTGATTTATTTCTCCCGACGTAATATGGCTTTCCCAACAGAGGGGATCATAAACGTTGCGTTATTTTTTTTTTTTCTGGATTTCGAATATTCCATATTCTTTCGTACGTGCGAGTCATGAATAAAACAATATCTCGTTATTCCAAAAAATAAATAACTAGCACTAAACAATACAAAAATGAAAACTTAAAGAATGAAAATTGAAAAAAATACGGTTGTGGATATCAAATTATTCTCTCAAATAATAATTTAGGTGAGTTTTTTTTAGTACATTGATATATTTACATTAAGAGAAGGGAGAGTTCGACAAAGCCACATAATGAGCAGCCTAATTTGGTATCAAATTCGCTATTAATGAGATTCAAACCTAAGATCTCTTACTTTTAAGTGAAAAGGAATTCCACCAAACTGTAGTACTGAATGACAACAATTTAGGCAAGTTGAGCTTGAAACTTATTGTTTGTAAGTGAAGTAGAATATTACTAGATTGTGATATTAATGATAAAATAATATCATTAATTAGAAACACATTTCTAAGACGGGTTGAGATTATTTACTTTTTTATCTTTAAAGTATGAGCAAGTATGATAGATAATCCAAAGTAATAACAACTTATTACTTAATATCAACTTTCATTATTAATTAAAACAAAGTGAAAATAAACAAGGATGTTTAATAACTACTAGAATATGGGCACATACAAAGTATGCGAGAAATTTTTTTATTTTTTTATTTTAAATAGAAGGAGAAAATGAGAGAGGAAGAGAGTGATAAAGAATGTAGGAGTGGAAATTGTTTATTTATTTATTTTTTTTAATTAGAGATATGTTATGATTACATGTAGGTGAAACTTTGAAGAAAAAAAAATTTTTGATTGTGTGAAATTACATTTCTGCCCCATTTTTCTTATTCATGTTCTGTTTTAATTAGAGGATTAAACTGATAGTTTCATAAAGTTTTGGTTGACAATGAGTGTTTTATTAATTAGTAGTGATTAAATTTTCAAGAAATTAACTATAAATAAAAAAGGATTTGTTTGGTTGCTGAAATAGAAAGAAAAACATGAATGACAAAGTATTGAAGGAGTTAAATGTCTGAAATACCCCTAAGTAAATATACTATGGAAATAACATAAATATTATATCGATATAATATTTATATATGGTGTAGATATTGTTTATATGATGTTGATAATATGTATAAACCGTCTTATTAATGTTGTCGATAATGGTCGTCGGTATTGTCAATGTGTTGTTATAGATGTTGATATGTGTTCGATATACGATCTATATCTTCACAATATTGTTCACTCACCGCCTTCCATGATGCTGCTCTTGCCAAACCCTATATTTTTCTCTCACAATCACAAGCAGAAAGATCCAGAGAAAGGATGAACATAGATTGATTGAAAATTGAGCTCTAAGACCATTTCTAATGGTAGGACTAAATGCTAAATTAAACACCCCCCCTCCCCCCAAAAAACAATCTCCAACCCATGTAGGGCTAAATGCCAAATGTTAAAGCTGGGCCAAATACCCTCCAAAATTCCCCCCCGGTGTGACTGGACTCGCTGGCAATTGGGTCAGTTTCGGCCTAGTCACGCCCCACGCGGTGTGTTTGCAAACCTTTCCCGGTAGGGGTGGGTCCCGCTGTCAGTCGTTTGTCGGCCACCCAAAAATTCCAACGGCTATAATTTGAATCCAAGGCTTGGTTTAACGGACTGTTGGTTGATCCAACGGTCCAGATTCAAATATAATTTTTTTAAATATGTTATTTTAAAATACATTTAATCAAATCTAACAGTAAAAAAAAAAAGTATCTAATGACCCAATATTTATCGGAATTTAAATATTTTTCAATATTTATTGGAATTTAGTGATTTTTCAATATTTATCGAAATTTAAATATTTTTAGATTAAAATAAAATTAATTTACAATAGTCTACATATTTATTTTAAAAACCAAAAAAAAAAGCCTAAGTTCGTTCTTTAATAATCTCAAATTAAAATTTTGGGCCAGAAGAGTTGGAGCAGAAAAGCTGTTTCTGGGTTAAAAGCTAAATTTTTCGGGCTAAAAACTTTGACTTTTAGCCTAACCATTGGAGTTGGTCTGAACGAGTTGAAATCGATTGTGATTTGGTGAGAGAGGGAGAGAGAGAGGGAGAGTCGCATAATGTATGAAAGAGAAGATTTATGGGTGGTTGATGGCCCAAATGGGAGATTTCTGGAGCCGATGGGATATGAGGGAGTGGATGACCGAGGACTCCCACACAGAAAAGAGGCTGGCTGGCCGAGCGACAGAGTGAGAGAGGAGAGATTGAGATCGAGAGAGAAATGAAGGAAACTCAGGAAAGTGAGAGAAGATTAATGCATAAGGGAGTTTATAAGTATTGGCTTTTTGGACTTTCCATGCTCTAAAAATGTTTACACCATCAAAGGCTATTTCAGCACCTTATGGTTGAAATCCTTTTATTTAAGCTAATTTCCCTAGATTTTAAGAGAACTACTAGAACAAGAAAACCCAATTAACAAAAAAAAAAAAAAAAAAAGGTAAAACCCATCACGGTTATTAATCTATTGAAATCATGTTTTAACTAGGGATATTTTTCAATTCAAAGACATGTATTTGTAGCTCAAAGCGTTCGTCATTCCCTAACTCCAGTGGTGGAGCCACTTAAGAAGTAGAAGGGACACATGCTTGATTATTGAGTTAGGTCCAGTTTATTTTCTCCTGCCAAATTTATCCTTAAATTGACTAATTAAGTAATTAATATATTTATTATTATTTTTTATTTATGATGACTTTAATCCTTATTCATAGATTATCTTATGCTTAATGATCGGATTAATTTCCTATCCTTCCTTCTCTTTCTCCCTCACGGTAGCTTCTTATTTTTCCTCCCCCAATAATAGATGACCAAAGATGTCCAACCATTAATTTCTATTGTGGGTTTGATTTGTAGAATTTAGCACATCTTGTCGGCCTTACTTTTTATTCATGTTTCTCTATTCTTTTTTTCTATTCTAAAACTCTTTCTTTCTTTTGTGTGTCTTACTCCCTCAGAATTAGGGATGCAACTTAGACGGGTTGGATGGGTTGGAAGGTCAACCCAATCATAACCCAACTTTTACAATTCGGACTCAGGGTTCGGGTTGAGTTTCATTCGGGTTCATTTAAGCTCGAGTTTAATTGGGTTAGGGTTTACTTGAGTTGCCCAACTTTTTCAAGTTTGATCTTATAACAACTTAGTTTCCAAGAATTCCTAAACAAATTAAGCCAAGTAGATCAATCTACTATAGTCTATAAAGCTTTAGGATTTAGATACTATGAATATGGCCTGACTAATCAAAGCCTCTTATTCCTTAAAAGCTTAAGTAATTATAAAGGGTAATTTATTAAATAAAATATTAGAAAGGCAGTTGGTTTTTGGACTTGGCACACTTAGGTGTAGAAAACGTATAGTTTTAACTTAATGCAACTTCTCACTTTTCTCCTTAGTTTATCGGTTTTTCTCCCACCTTGGGTTTTACCATAGCGAGATTTTGTGAGTTTTACTTTTTATGCGTTCTCCGTTAATTTGAGACTCACATTCGCTTATTGTGCTGACGACTTCATCAACTGAACTTACTTCATCGCTGAAGACCTGATGCGTCATTTAGTTGAATATTTACACACTCAAGGGGGAGTGTTGCAGTCTTATTTGATTAGGAATGTGATTGTGTAAATCCTAATGTATCTAGGGATATCTTAGAATATTTCTTTGGGTTAGATATTATCCTATTAGAGTTGTAATCATATTAGCTAAGGATTTAACTTTCCCTACTACTATGAATAAAGACATAATTGGGTGAGATAACACACCTCACAATTACACATCTCTCTCTTTTTCTCTTTGTGCAACATCTTTCTTTCTATGACCTCTATAATTGTTTAGTAAATTATGCATATAACAGTGACATTATTTTTTCTCCCTATATATAATAACATCATATTATTTGATCGAATTGTTATAATTGAGTTGACCTCCTTTCAATTAAGTTATTCTCTTTTCACACGACCTATTGTTTATTTATTTATTTTATTACCAACATGATCCTCTCCGCATACTTTTGATGAAGATCTTGAAGATCTGTAAATTTTGTTCGTTCATCATATATCGAGAGGTTAATTTTTGTTAGGTACTATCTGTATTTAATTTTAAATAAAATGACCGTACGATGTATAATGAAAAAATATAATTCACAGATCTCCGGAATCATCACAAAAAGAATCCAAAGAGGATCCGAATTCTTTTTATTGCAAGTGGTATTTATATATTTAATCCATCATCATCTTTACGACAACTCAGCAGAAAGCGATTGAGAGGTGGAGGATATGGATCAAAATTATTTATTTAAACGTGGAAAAGACAAGTTGGACCATTGTGAATGTCGCGTGGTATAACATGTTGGAGTTAAGTGAATTAGTAATCTTGGATTAATAAAGAGGAATGGATATGGGGACAAGTGTAAAAATAATTAAGTCATGCCTTAAGTCAACATAATTATTTAAAGCAATTGTTGAATTGTCATGTGAGAGTTCGTCACTAAATTTTCTTGAGTTGCACTACAAGGGATTTAAAATTTACCACGTAGTAAGCTTGAAATAATTTTACACAATCTACTTTTCTTTGAAATTATTACAACTAATCTTTCTGCACGCGACTTGCACGTGCAAAAAACCTTTCTTACATCACGGCGCGCTACTTGCGGCATATAGAGTTTTTCCCCTTCCATATTTATGCATGCATAAAGACCTCTTTAGTTAAAAAAAAAGAAAAAAAAAAAACCTTTCATACGTGTTATACATGCATTGGTTCTATGTCCATAAGTTCCAATATTTAGGGAGTGATAAAATTAATTTTCATGTTTTCATGAGATACAAAAATTGTTAAAGAAAATATAACAAATATAAATTATACTGCAAAATGTCTCCACACAATAATTGCACCCTTACATTATAAGGCACAACCCTTGCTAATTCCACCTTTACATTATAAGGCACAACTCTTGCTAATTCCAAAAGATACACAACTGTGGAATTAATTTGGGTTATACTTCTATATTGCTTTGGCAGTTAGCATATTTTTTTGCACCTGTTTTTTATTTCAAATGGAGTTGCAAAGAGTCATAGCGCCTAGGGTCTAAACAAACTACTACTGGTAAACCTATCAGCTAGTCTCACTCCATGAACAAAGCACTAAACATATAAAGCTAATTATCCTTCCTTCCAAAAGACCATAGATAAAGTTGATAAGAACTTCATCTTCGAATCCAATAAGCTCCTTTACCCGAAAAGCAATCCAGGGACGCATACCTATAACACATCTTTCATGCACAATTAACCACAACAATTGGTCACACCTAATTTCGTCAACTCTTAAAGCAATACCCAATTCTCAAAAACATAATAAAATATGCTTGCGAATTGAAATTTCTCAAAGGTAAGAGAACATGCATTTAAATCAATAACCAAAAAGAACCTACCTGTAATTTTTTGCAATATCCCTCGTGTATGTATCCATCTCTAATCTTCTAGTCATTTCAATTTGTCCTTGAGATATTGCAGAACAACTTTGGTTCCTCCATCTAAACCCGTCCTCCACATTCTGTCAAGTAAAAATCCATACAATGAGAAGGTCAATGATGCATAGGATAAGCAACGGATTTAGAACTCCGGTAATCATACAAATGAATTGTATATTCAACAGGTATCATTCTATTATCAAGGGATTCACTCTGCAGTAGAAAGTCTGACTGATTAGCATGCAATTAGACAAAGTGTTATGCCTCACTGACATGTTTTTTTTATTCTATGAATAAAGGAATTGATAGTAAGAGACTATCCAGGGTGCATCACTATAAGAACTCAAAGCAGTCATATTGTGAGCTTGGGAGCAGGCCCCAAGTTTTGTAAATCCTAATAGGTGTAATTTTGCCTTGCATTTCCGTCCACTATAATTATCCATAAACGAAAAATGAATATTAGAATAAATGAATTAAAAACAAAATCATGGAGATAAGGAAAAATGAAGAGTGACGAAACTATGTTACCTAAAACAAGAAGAGGATGACTCAACTGTTTCTCTTCCCTCTTCTTATGCTATAGCAGCGCTATTTTCTTACTTTAATGATACTCAAGTAGCAACTCAACTACATAAAATATTAAGCTAAATTAGTAGAATATGATAATCCGCATTTAGGCATTTTGCTTTAAGCCATACAGTAGAAAAAATTATGCTAAAAATACAAAACAATGAACCACCAAGTAAATCAGAAAGCAAAAAACCCACATCCGAAAGTACCCAGAAGCTAAAATGATAGAAAGAATGAGAAGGGGTATTTATATGTACTTGTCCATGTTGCAATCCATTTTTTGAGTAGCAGCAGCAACTCAATCGTCGCCGTCCAAATGCCAGACCCTCTTTGCCTTCTCTCTTTACACACGGACTCTCTGTCTTGGGTGGAGAATCAAATTGACAACCCCATCTGCCAAATTAAAGAAGAAGAGAAGGAATTGACTTTGCATTCGAGAACATATATGTGGAGAAAACTTTGAAAGATAGAGAGATAAACCAAAAAATCCAACATGAGAATCAAATGGCTTACCAACTGGGTAGGTTTTTAATTTCTTATGCAGCTAATGAGTGCGTATGCAATAGTTATATAGGTTGCAACAATCAAGTGAACTGGAACCGCTAGTCTGCAACGTGGGTTCCTTCACGTTCGTGTTTCCATTTTTTTTCCTTTTAGTTTATTTTTTATTTCCTATGTTTTCTGCTTTTGTTTATTTTATTTTTATTTGGACATTTATATCCTTTATCTATATTTTTAACAGTAAATCACACGAGTTAAATTTCTTTGTTTGAGGGGTTTTATAGTCCAATATTTTTGATGAAGTCTTGAGACACTAAACTTGACTTATAACTTTCTAATATTAGAATTCCAAAACAATTAACTTAAGTCCTTCAAACACAAAAGAAATGATTAACTTAAAAAGAGAAACAAATGGAATTTGTAAAAAAACAAAGACATTATTTACCCACAATTCATCCATTCGAGGCCTGGTAACTCTCAAAGGTACGGTTCTGGCTTTCTGCCTGCGCTTTCCCTCATGTGAGAGGACTTTCTTTTATTATAATGCGCTACGCGCGAATTTAAAAACTTTTGTGACTACAAACAACATATATCATTTTATTTATTCTGTGACTTTACATCAGAAGTAATCGTCAGAATTAATTGGCTTTACTTACCTCCCTGAAAGCTTTGTACGATAAGTAAAACACATCCACCAATTGTAGTAGTTCTTTGAAATCCCAAACTCATTTGCTCCCTCGCATCTATTTTTCAAACACTCTTCGACTACTGTAATTTGCCTCCTCGTACAGTTGTGGAGCCATGAACTATGATGTCCCTACTTCAATCAAAATGTAGATAAATCTGAACATATATTAACTTCTTTAAGTAAACCATCATATTTCTCACAAACTAAACACCAAAATTTGACAGGGAGGTAAAGATTTTAAAGAGAATTCTAATTGTTGAAGCAATGACGTGCTGATAAACAATTAATAATGTCCATAGTGCAAACGGAGAGAATAAAACTATAATTTATATTCTCTCTTGATGGTATCCATATAATATAGGGAACTTTAATGAAAAATTTATGGTATTGTTCATTTGAATAAAAAATCACATTTTTACACTAAAAAGTTAATTCTGGTACTATTTACTTTACCTTTTATTTTGTCTTTATCGTTAAAACTCAAAGTTTTCAAGCCATTTTCATTAATTTTCCTTAATATGTAACCAACAAATGGTTTTATCAATAGTTCACACATGCTGATCGAACTTCAGAAGTTGGAAGAAAGAGTATGTCCACAGAAATTACCTGATTACATGCTACATATCTGAATTCAAAGTAACCCATGATCAACTTGCGTTCCCAATTCTATCTCAACCAAAATTCACCTTCCAAACACAAAAGTTCACGTCAATTCAAACTCATCATACTAAAAAAATAGAGGAAAAAAAATAACCAATTGCACATGAACAAATCAATCTAAGTTCTAACTTAGTTTTCCTGCAATAAAACGACCAAAGTTAATAAAAACCAAAAACATAGAATGAGTGATAAGGGAGAGAAACAAATCCCACTTATAATTTTTAAAATTTACCCAAACCATTTGAAGTAGTAGGGACGAAGCTTCTTCCCTCCTCCTCTGGATTTGTGGAATACTCAATGTACATTTGCGAGTTCTTGGGAGTTATTTTATCTTCTCCATTGCACTAGTTTATTTGGAGTCCTCTACGATCATGTTTCCTTTTTGCATGTTTAATTTCTTTTCTTATTTTCCTTATGTTTAATCTCTTTTAATTATTACTTTTTCTTACAAAACTACCCTTAGTAAAAAATTTCTGTATTTCTTTTCAGCTAATGCATTTTTTTGTTTCAAGGGCATTGTTGTACAATTATTTTTGGTGAAGCCTTGAGACATCAAAATTGACTTCTGGCTTTCTAATAGTATAAATTAATTTATTTTCTAATTAATATATACAGTTAGATTCATCGAATGGCACATGTTTTTTTTCCTTTTTTCTTCCCCGTTCATTTTCTTCTCCCTTCACCATGTAGCAGTCGTTCGTCCCCAATTAGGTTTTTAGTTTTTCTTTCCAAAAAATATGTAAAAAGGAAAGACATAGTGGGGAATAAGACTATAAAAGGGCAGAGCCGATTTGGGATGAAAAAATAGAGGGAGGAAAAGAGAAAAAAAAAAAAAAAAAACCATTAGATCAATCTCATGATGTATATTAATTAGTAGGAAAAATAATTATGAAATTTCTAAATGCATAAAAAATCATAAAAGATTATATATATATATATATATATATATATATTTTTTTTTTTTCTTTTATCTTTTTTTTTAATTTACCAAAGAGTAGAACTTTTTTAGAGACGAATTGAAATGCTTACATCATTTGCCAGAGTATTGAATAACCACTCCGGTTCAAAACAATCATACATATGACATCCCCCACACGTGTAACATAAATTGCCACCAAATATGCAGCACCATTACAAGAGCGAGGGGTTGAATAACACATGTGAGCATGTCCACCAAGACGTTAGAATCGGTTTCAATTTGAACACACCCAAAGCCCCTCTCCACACATACCCCAAAGCTGCTCGCACCGCCTCCGCTTCCGCCATCAGACTCGAGTCACAGCAAACATTCCCCATTCCTCCTGCTCCCTTAAAGATCCCCGCAAAATCTCGAGCCACCCAACCAAATCTACCCCTTCGTGTCTCCTTATGCCAAGCTCCCTCGCAATTGAGTTTAATTGTTCTAAAAGGAGGCTTTACCCACCTCACAGGAACCTTCTCTCCTTCCCCTAGTCGGCTACTGCGAGCAGGCCGCACCTGAGACCGTTCACACCTTTCAATCTCCCCCCATTGTTTCTGCAATAATTCCAAAGCCACAGTAGGCTCGACCAAGGTCTTCTCAAAAACCATACTATTCTCGCATTTCCAAATCCTCCATAAAAACTTACAACACCGCGAGCTTTGACTCTTAAGTGGACTGTAGTGCCACTCAATCAATGGTGTAGCCACCCACAAGGCTAAGGTGGGCGGTAGCCCAAGGAGGTTTTCTGTAAGGGTAGTGCTGTCCATGCACTCATTTTTACTTCTTACACATCTCTCTTAATTGTTGGTTGTTCGGATCGAATAAATTGAAGATCATCACTAACAAAATATTAATAAGGCTGTGTTGGAAGTAAAATGGGTTTGTGAATAGATCTATTCTTTTGTAAACTCATGCTTATAGCCTACTCAATTTCAATATAGATTATTATTTTGACGTATATTTAGTAGATGAGAGGTAGCGAATAATACGTTTTATGCTAAAAATTATAAATAATACGTTTTATGCTAAAAATTATAAATTAGTTCTATCTCTAGTCCCCTTTTATTTACTTATTCTTGATTTAATTAGTAGGTTAATTATTTATATGGTCCTTGAATTTATCGGTTAGGATTATGATTTTGAGAATAGTTTATATTATATATTGTTGTTCTTTTATATTGATTATTATATAATTTTATATAAGCAAAAAAATAAACATGTAATTTTATGGTACTATTTTCAGCTATCCCACCCAAGAAAAAAATCCTGGCTCCTCCCTTGCACTTAGTAAAGTTCAGTGACAAGCTGAGCCTCACATAAGTTTTTCTCGATGGTTAGGATGTTCAATGTTTTATTCAACCAATGTTCAAACATTTCCCCCTTCTTTCTACTGTAGATTTAAGTATAAAAAGTCTACTCTCACCACATTTTTATACCATATTTGTACCATATCTTTGATAAAGATGAATCCACATATGTTGATGGGCACTATATTTATTAGAGAGGTGATACAAATGTAATAAGTAGAATATAATAAATGTAATATTACTCATTTAAACAGTGTTATAAAAAAAAACAAACCTAAATCGTTTAAGAATTAATTATAATAGGGAAGTGTTACTGGCACTCCAAAAATCTTATTTTACACTTCTCATAAGTGTATTTTTCTTTCTAAATATAAAAAGTTTGAAGTGTAAAATGAGAATTTTGGAGTGCCAATAATAATTCCCTTATAATATACTCAAATTATGACTTAGAACAAGTCAAAGCCCAATGGTAGAATCTTCCTTGCTTGTCAACGTTTCTAGTATTTTATCTCTCTTTTGTGCCAATTTGCCAATATTTTTATGGTTTGGTCGAGTGAATAAATGGGTAGAGACCTACTACGGTTCCAATTATAGAGAAACAAAACGTAATGAACTTTTGTTATCCCTTTTATTACCATTTTGTGAAAAATCGTCGTTAAGTATGAATATGTTTGACACCTGTAACTCGATTAGTGAAATAATATCATTCTCCAAAAAACTTTTTTTTTTTATTTAACCGCCCCACAAAAAAAATATTTTGTAAAAAGCATAGCTACCAACCTCAGCAAACTCATCTCCTCTGCCTATCTTTTGTGAATTTGAATTAACCACCAAATGGTGGTTTCTAGTCTTTTGCAACTAAAAGGCATGCAGACGCACCAACTACACGATCATGCAAAATAGACTACTAAATCAAATGTCATGCAGGGATCAGGGTTTTGCAATTGGTTGATTGCTTCAGTGAATATGATATTTCTTTTGAACCTGTTGTGTCTTGTGTTTAAATTATCTTTCTCCTTAGTGTAGTTTAGAATAATAATATTGTTTTTTTAAACTGGCATGATATTCATTAATGTGGTAAATGAATAAGTACAAAAGCCTCCATAAAAATCTTTTCGAAGATTTCAACCTGGTCGAAATTAAAAAAAGATATCCCTACCAAGAAATGACATAGTACTATCTGCACCAGTACAATCAAAGTAAAGGGTTTGGGTTGCACAAAAAGGACGTGTACCATCCCAAATGAGTATTTGAGCCACTAATCCCTGCACCAATGGTCGCATACGCAACATGACATGTTTATATCTGATGAATTACTACTAAAATCTTGTACACATATGAAATACGTTGTGAAAATCTACCTAATCTAGAATAAAACATTTTCTATAATTGTAACAAGAAAATGATGCTTAGCCCTGAGAGTTTCTTCTTTTCTCTCTCTCTCTCGAGAGTTCTTCCTTCTGTTTGAGGGTACTTCTCACCTTCTTATGTGAGTGATCCCGATTGTGCTTCCCTTGGCTACCGCCGGTCCTAGCTGTGGCTGGTTCTTCCATCTCCTGCTGGTTCTTCCAATTTTCCCCTTTGGCTTTCCCAATTCTTCAAACCCTGTGGGTATCCCTTTCCATGGCCCTTCCTTACTTGGTTTTTAAGCCATGTTTTCTGTTGAGTTTGTGTTAGAGTTCCGGTGTTGTATCCGGCTCGGGTGTCTCCCAAACCACCACGTTCTCCTTATTGTCTGCCGTTTTCGGCGGTGTTGCTTGGGAATTTCCAGGAGCTTCTTTCCGATGGTTGGCTTCTCTCTCACCGACTGTCTCTTGTTGATGCTTGTGTGCAGGTGGCGCCCGTGGAGGGGATGATCTGCAGTGGGTGAAGGATTGAGTGGCTGGCTAATTCTTGGATCGGCGACCACAGTGGATGGTTCTCGGTTGTTCGTTTTTGTTTGGGCTGGTGGGCTATTTTTCTGTGTTTTCTTTGTTTTTAGGCCCGTTCTTTGTTTGTTTCTAGGAAAAAATTAGGCATTTGCTTGATTTGTAAGTGTGTTTGCTTTAATAAAAGTTCCTTGTTGGTGATCCTTTTGGATCCCACCTCCAAAAAAAAAAAAACAAAACAAAAAAAAAATAGAAAATGATGTTTAGCTAATGGGAGTAAAAGACAAACAATGTTGCTGTTCTTATCCAACCATTGATCGAATTCAAACAATTTAACACTCAACGATTGCGTCCAAGTTTTTCTCAAGGCATGGACTGTCCTTTTCCTATTTGCATGTTAGTAAATTATTTAGCCTCTCTTTATCTGTACAACAAGGATTGAGAGGTGAGATGTGAAATTATGACGTGACCTTCTTATTGAAGATAAATACTTTCTTAGTGCCATCCACACTAAGTCTGACAATTTCTTATACGGCTCATTAACTTAACACGAAACAACATGAAAATAACAAGATTCAATTCTACCTGTTACTGATTCGGGTCGTTATCAGGTAGCCTGTTAATGTGTCAGCTTGTTATCAAGTCATATGTTAAGAACCCGATAAGATATCATTTGACATTAGACATGACAATTTATTGCATGACCTGTTAACCCGACAAGGAACGACACGACCTGTTAATAAATCGGGTCGTTATTGGGGTACCTGTTAAGGACACATTAAGATAATGGGTATGACATGAAAACGACACAAACATGATAACACACGACCAATTTGCCAAACCTAATTCACACACTTATTTTTACCCACATTTCTTAATTTTTTGTCATTCATCTTTCTTCAATTTATCGATTCAGATGGTAAAAATTTGAGAGAATGTGTGAGAAGTAAACCATGTGTGTGGATAGCATATTGTTACGTCGAATTATTTTATACTGATGAATTATCTTTCTATGCTTTTTATAAAAGCAGCAAACTCTTTTCACGATTAAAAGAGAAAAAGAGTGTCCACATCTTATTTATTTTAAATTTTCTAACAACAATAACAAGACATCAATCAACTTCATGAGGATCGTTGTACCATATATGGTCCTTCGTTATTGACTAATTCCTATTTTGGCCCACCTGTTGGTGACTTGATTTGCTTCTTTACGGGCATGATTTGGTTTGGAATGTGCAATACTCATCCTCTCCTCCCAAGCACACCATCCAATTCACTTCACCCACCTTTTTTTTCGGGCTTGCTTCATTTTTGAATTACTTTAGGGGACTTGTGAGTTTTTACAGCGTGCCGTTTTCGATACTTTCACAAATTTAACCTTTATATATTTTGCATTTCTTCATTAAAAATGCTCTAAGATGTTAAATGACTTTAGATGAAACCAAGTGAACATTAGAAGGTCGACATGTCAATTTAAAGACGAATAATGTTATGTATATTAAATTTGTACATTAAATGATGTAGCACGCAGTGGTGTGCCGATCCAAGATTCAAATCTCAGAAGTCACTATAAAAATGTTAGAAGAAAAATTGAATTGAGCAACGCGAGGTGAGCGGCTGAAGGCGACGGTCTGAGTGGTGATGGCACAAAAACAGGTGGTGGGGTTTGGGGTTAGGTTTGGGATTTGAAGTGTGCAAGTTGACAACCTCTGCCTGTACAAAGTATTTTTCTACAAGGGTTGAAAGCTTTATATGTTTACATGTAGTAAAAAGAGTTCTTTCTGATTTTTCTCTATTAGATTTAGGTTATTCAAATGAATTAAAAAAATCCACTTAGTGGGATTAATCCTTTTATATTTAATAGAGTAAATGAGTCCATGTGGTTTAAAGAACCCTAACATTGTGAAAAAAAAAAAAATTATGGTGTATAATGTGCCACATTATGTGTGCACAAATTTGATACATGTAACATCACTCTAAAAAGAGAAAAATAAATGAGCTTTCAAATTCACATTTTCCAAACTATAATAGAACTCTTTTTTACATTGTTCGATAATATATAAGTAAACTATTTGAATTTGGGTAATACTTAAATCCTCCTACGCAGGGGAAGCACATATTTTTCAATTGCGAATAACGTATCTTAACTGAATAAAATTGACGATTGAAACCATTCAATTATTTAATATTCATTTAAAGATCAGTCATATAAAAAATTATTTAACTTGAAGATCGTTTAACCATTCAAATGCATCAAACAAATAAACAATTCATCATAAATATGTTACTTGGTATACATTTAAATCACTAAATTATCTTTGATAGAAGTGATTTTTGTATAGATGATCTTTAAATAAAAATTAAAAAAATTAAACGATTCTAATTGTAAAATATGTACCGTCAAAAATATGTCATTTATAAATATATGAGTTTATTCCCAAATGAGAAAATACAAGCATTACCTTAATTTGTATCTATCCATCGAAGGAGCTTTTGACCCCAAAAAAAAAAATCCATCAAAAGAGGTATATTATTTGTGAAATGTCTTGGACGAAATCAAAGTCACATGAGCATTTTTTTTTTTTTTTTGTGCTAATATTTTTGTCGTCGGCCTCATCTAGATCGGTCTAGATATATTAAATAGACAGAGCATCGAGGGGAATTCGAGAATCCTCAAATTACATTTGTTTATTGATTTATTGTATATTGTATGGTCAATTTTTATTTATATTCAATTTTAAATAAAAAAATTGAGAATAATTTCTGAAGGAAGGATGGGGCGAGAATCTCGTTAAATAAAACACTCCATGATTGAACTGAACAACACAGCTAGCTCAGACCATCTGTGAACTCCAGAGAAAAATAATGGAAGATCTGAAGCCCACGTCAGTAAACTCATCCCCTCTAACACCCTTGGGCTTTCTGGAAAGAGCAGCCACCGTCTACGGCGACTGCCCGTCCGTAATATACGGAGACACCACCTACACTTGGACACAGACCCACCGTCGATGTCTCCGCGTGGCTTCCTCTATATCATCCCTTGGTATGAAGACAGGCAACGTGGTGTCCGTTCTGTCCCCAAACATCCCAGCCATGTACGAGCTCCACTTCGCCGTGCCCATGTCCGGCGCCATCCTCAACAACATCAACACCCGCCTGGACAGCCGCACCGTCTCCGTACTCCTGCGCCACAGCGAGTCAAAACTCGTCTTCGTCGACTACGAATTGCGATCCCTAATCCTCGAAGCCATCTCTCTCTTCCCACCAAACACCCCCTCCCCTCGACTCGTCCTCATCGCCGGAGATTCCGGCGCGCCGTCACGCGCAGCACCACTCGATGACTTCCTTTGCACGTACGACGACCTCGTGGACAGGGGCGACGAGGGGTTCGAGTGGGTCTCGCCGTCGAACGAGTGGGTTCCGATGACGCTGAATTACACTTCGGGGACCACATCGTCTCCCAAGGGAGTCGTTCACTGCCACAGAGGGGTCTTCATCATCGCCGTCGATTCCCTGATCGACTGGGGTGTACCCAAACAGCCGGTGTACCTGTGGACCCTACCGATGTTCCACGCTAACGGGTGGAGCTACCCCTACGGAATGGCAGCCGTCGGTGGGACCAACATCTGCGTCCGTAAGTTCGACGCCCAAATAATCTATTCCATGATCAAACGATACCGAGTTACCCACATGTGCGGTGCGCCGGTGGTGCTGAACATGCTCACAAACGTCCCGCCGGAACCGAAAAGCTCGAGTACCCGGTTCACATCCTGACCGCCGGAGCTCCGCCGCCGGCTCCGGTTCTGTTCCGGACCGAGTCCCTGGGTTTCGTGGTTAGTCACGGGTATGGGCTGACCGAAACGGCGGGGCTGGTGGTGTCGTGCGCGTGGAAGAGGAAGTGGAATTTGTTGCCGGCGACTGAGAGAGCGAGGCTGAAGTCGAGGCAGGGAGTGAGGACGGTCGGGCTGACCCGAATGGACGTGGTAAACCCGGACTCCGGACTCAGCGTAAAACGCGACGGCACGTCGCTCGGCGAAGTCGTTTTGAGAGGCGGGTGCGTGATGCTAGGGTATTTGAAAGACCAATCGGGAACGGCCAAGTGCATGAAAGACGGGTGGTTTTACACGGGTGACGTGGGCGTGATGCATCCCGACGGCTATCTGGAAATTAAGGACAGATCCAAGGACGTTATTATAAGCGGGGGCGAGAATCTGAGCAGTGTGGAGGTGGAGTCGGTGCTGTATACGAACCCGGCGGTCAACGAGGCCGCGGTGGTGGCGAGGCCGGACGAGTTTTGGGGGGAGACGCCGTGCGCATTCGTGAGCTTGAAGAGTGAGGTGAGGCCGAAGCCGACGGAGAAGGAGATCATGGAGTATTGCAGGAGGAAGCTGCCGAAATACATGGTGCCCAAAACGGTGGTGTTTACGGACGAGCTTCCCAAGACATCGACCGGGAAGATTCAGAAGTTTGTGCTGAGAGAGATGGCGAAGGGTCTGGGTTCGTCGAGGCCGAGTCGAATGTAATTTTTATATTATTTAATTAATTAATTAATGCATTGCACGACATGAAAGATTTTTCAATTATAATTGAAACATGTATTATATTATCCGCGATTACAATAAAAATTTCCTACATGGTAAAAGAGCGATGGCGTCTGATTTACGAAGATGCGTTGATTTCCATTCCAATAGGCTACTCATTCTCATGGTCATGGCGTCATTATGCATGTGGTTTTGAATAATATAGTTAAAATCTTATGCACCCAAAAACTCTTTGTCGTTTATGTCACCGTAACTCTATTTTCAAACAGTGTATAAAAAAATAAGACGTGAAACAGCGATATTCTAGTGATTTTAGTTTTCCCACGAAAGATGGGAGTAGTGGAGAAAGTGGGTGATCCAATCTGATCCAATCAAATCAAATATAATATTAGGAAGAAAAAGGAAAAAAATAAGTTAAAGAGAGATGAGAATAATTTTATTATTGATGTGTTATCTACCCATTTTGTATTATTTCTTATACATTTTTTTGTTAATTTTATTATTTAATTTTTTTAATTCAATTGGTTTAATGATCGTAAATTAAAATAGTGTGTATGAATTAAAGGATTTGTTATCCACACCCTCATTTTATTTTTATTATTAGAAAGCGAGAACCTAACTTTGAGGTTACAATGTTCACCAAAACTAATAGGACTAAAAAAATATCTGAATAAAAAAGAATCAAAACTAACAGAAAATAATAAAAACAAATTCACAAGGGTAATTTTATCATAAAAACCAATGCAAAAAGAGGAACTAGACAACTTCTTTAATAGCTTTAATCTTTAATATTAGAAAGCCAGCAATCAACTTTGGTGTCTCAAGGTTTCACCAAAAAATTCTAGACTAAAATAACCCTCAAACAAAAAAAAAACAAAAACCGACACAATATAATACATTAAAAAACTCATGGACATTTTTGTCAGAATACAAAAATATAAAATTTGTTTTATTAACAGAAAAAGAAAAAGAAACAGATAACTCCTCCATTTTAGGAGAGAGAACAACCAACGTGGGGAGAAAAATCTTCAGGATTAGCACGTTTAATTTTCAAACTGCATAGCAGTTTCCATACAAGGAAACCAACCCACCCACGTCTATCTTCTATTCCCCCATTTTCTGATCAAACTTCTTCCTCACACAATTCCACGTACAACTCTATTCATTCTGTTTTCTAACTGCAGCCTACCACTCCATATTCTCTCCTTCTTTCACTACTATTTCTCTACAGGTTTCAGTTCTCACCCATTTGCATGCTAAGCATGTACACAAATCGGTAAGTCTCTCTCCCGCGCATTTTCTTTAAATTCGGTTTGGTTTTCTATAATTTGATAATTTTTGGGTTTTTATTTTATTGTAAAATCTTTCAGGTAGAAAGAACTGCTTTGAAATTCTTTCAGTTTTGGCAAGGCTACTTTTTCCAGATCGATGAACGTTTATATGCGCATCGGTAAGTCATCGGATGTATAGACGGATTAGGATGTTTCAACTAATATTAGAAAGCTAGAAGTCAAGTTTTGTGCATCCCTATTATTTCTTTCTATCAAGCAGAAAGGGAGAGGGCACCCAAAAAAAATTGCAACTTGCTCACGTACTTACGTTTTACACCACCAATCCAGTTTTGATTTTTCTCTCTTTTCATTTTCTTTGTTCCTGGCAAATTTGTGAATAAGGACTGGGACTACAAAGTGGAAGCTCTGAAAAATTCGAGCCGGTATTGATGTCTTGATTTTCCATTTTTACCATCACCAATTCAATTCAGAACCTATGTCATGCTTAACTCTCAATCTTTTTGCTCCTGTCAATCTTAATATTATTGGTTTGTATTTCTTTGTTATTTATGTTCCTCCTACACATTAGTTTATTTTAATTAATTTATTAGAGATTTTCATTTTTATGTTCTTTCTGCCAATAAGTTTAGTTTCTTGCTCATTGTTTGCTTTCTCTTGGGTGCCGGTGATTCACATAGGGTAAGCTCCGGAAAATTACCTCAATTGGATCTGCAAATGGGAGGAATACCTAACAGCAGCAGGTGAAGTTTTCTTTTTATGTGCAGTTTTTAAGTTACTTATGCATTCTTTATTTTTATCTCTTTTGCCCATATTATGTACATCAATTTTGTTCATTTAGTCTGCATTTTCGGTACTTTTATCTTTTTCCTTCTTCATTTACATGGTTGCACTGCTCGAAAATTTTCTCATTTGTTGCTTCGATCTTTGATCATCATCTATTTTTTTATGCATATTTTGTAATGGGTAGTTGGTGGAGGGACGTTGGTCTCTCTTTTGTTTATCCGAGTATTACATTCGATTGTATTGCACTTGGTTTCTTGGTACCAGACTTTTGATGAAACTGACAGTTTATGAAATGATTGTAGAATGTTAATTATGCTATTTCTTAATTTCTACAGTTATAGACTTTGGTAATGTCATTGCATTTAGGTGCTGAAATGTCCCAAAAAAATAAAATAAAATAAAATAAAACACCCCGATGATGAATATGTGAGGCTTACCGAAGACAAGAATTGTAGTTTTTTTTGAAGCAGCAGTATAAAACAAATGGTTAGGTTTTATTTGTTTTTAAGGTGTGCTAGCCATTTTAATGAATTTAAAACGTTTTTTCTTTGATTTAGGGCCTATATCACGAAAGTTTTAGAGTATTAGTGTTAGGTTTCGTTTAATGATTACATTACTTAATTGTTTTAAATTTTAAACTTTAGTTGTATTGCTGAAAGTTTGATTACTAAATTACTTTGCAGAAACAGAGTTCACAGTAGCTAAGAGGATACTAAGAAGCAAAGACTTACAACATACATATTGACTTAAAATGGTCTTATTCTCTTTTGCTTCTCTTCCATGTTTTGTTGTATGTTTAACCATTATGTTTTCTATTTGTTTTCGTAACTCTTTTTGCTTTTGAAGTTTACTGCTCGGTTAAATATTTGTACCAAATGCTTCAAGTTGTTAAGATTGGGTAAATTTAGGGATTCATGATTGGGTCCGTGGTTGAAGCTCAGGAAAATTAGCTCAATCGGATCTGCAAATGGGAGGAATACCTAACAGCAGCAGGTAAAGTTTTATTTTTATGTGCAGTTACTTATGCATTTTTTAAATTTCCACCATTTCCAGAGATTGGTGTGTTATGAAAAGGGATTTGATATGTAAGAACTGAAATTTACCAACCTCCCTTTTTTTAAATGGTTTCTGAAGAATGGGTTTGATAGAAAGGAATCTAAGTGCTCTGCAAATATGCTTGCGCCTCTCAAATATTTGCTTTCTCTTGGGTGCCTATGATTCACATAGGGTAAGCTCCAGAAAATTAGCTCAATTGGATCTGCAAATGGGAGGAATACCTAACAGCCACAGCTAAAGTTTTCTGTTTATGTGCAGTTTTTAAGTTACTTATGCATTTTTTATTTTTATCTATTTTGCCCATATTCTGTACGTAAATTTTGTTCATTTAGTCTGCATTTCTGTATTTCTCATTGGCATAGGTATTGACTGCTGTTGAACTGCTTCCCTGTGGAACTGCTTCTTGGTTTAGGGAGTTTTTGTGTAAAAGGAGACGTAGTGTTTATCTATTTCCCAGTAACCTCCCACAACTACCCCGATATTCTATCAAATTCGTTTTTCATTCCCTCTCCCAGGTTTCTATTCCACCATTTTCACTCTTAATTTGTTAGATGGTAGACAATTGCACAACATGTTTAATATTTACTTTGAATGCTGTCAAAGGCATCACCTTTTTATGCCTACTTTAGAACAAAACTCTAATTAATCTTCACATGAGATAAGACTTTACATTTTTTGTACTTGAGTGATTTCAACACCATCGTGATCAATATTAAGCATGTACCTCCAAAACAGAATAGGCTAGTTTCCCTGCCAGAGATGAAATAGAAAGGAATGACAAGAATGGTCATCCATTAGGCCCTCAGGAAGGCAATCAGCCGATGGCCTTTTAAAAACGAAGAGAGAGAGAGAGAGAGAGAGAGAGAGAGAGGGTATTTTCCCTTTGCCCTATGATTTATGGTTCAACTATATATAATGGATGTAAGATAATTTTTTTTTATTTTATGTTTTCATATTTTTCTTCAATTTTACCTTTATTAAGAATCATCAAATTGAAATTTCAGTTTTAAGATTTTTGGAGGACTACAACATATCAAGTATGGAGGGAATTGATAGAAGCGATATGTCAGAGGTTGTTACCTTATCTGCATTATTCCTCTTTTGTACAGATGATATATTTTTTCTTCTTTTTCAAAAAGAAAATAAAATTCATTCTGTTTAGCAATTTCTCAATGTAGGTTGGCAATGAAGAAGTTGACTTTGGACAAACAAATATTCACAATTTTCAACAGTCAGACCAAAGGTATCGTAGGAGTAATCAACAAAGGCAAAATCATAGGAGCAATCAACAAAGACAAAGACGACAATCTATGAATTCATCACAGCGGGCTCGAATTTCAATACGACGACGTGCCAATTATCAAACCCGCTTGAACTCAATCAATATAGTCCAAAATCAAACGGAAGTAAACCAAGAAAACATAGGATTGACATCTGCGGGTAACTATGATTTTTTTTTTTTTTGTCTCTATTCAATTCGTACGTTGTATTAACATTTTTGTACAAATTATTAAGACAAATATATTAAGATTGAACAAATCAGTGATTCTAAGTTGTCATTGCCTTTTTGTACTATCAATGCAAACATCCATTTAATAATTCTGTTATGTCTATAATAATTTCAACATTTGGATTGTATATATTTACCATAGTGACCAACGTTTTAACAAGTACTCCAAACAACAAAAAAAAATAAATAAAAAAAAATAAAAATAAAAATAAACAAAGAAGGAAAGGAATATTATGTAAACTTGGAATAACAGTTCAAGTATAATAGTCAAGAGAAAAATATAAAAATAACATCACATAAAGATATAGTACATCGATAAATGGAAATAATTGTGAAGTTAAAAAAAAACATGCAGCACATATTTACACAGATGCAAAATCAAAGGAAGCAAAAAGCACAACTCAAATCAGAGAAATGAAATCATAAATCAATGATTCAGTGCATGAAATTCACTAAATTTTAGTAAACCCTAGATTCAGAGATATTGGCGTTGCATTCATTTTCATCCGAAAACGGCAAGAAGAAAACCACTCTCATCCAAAAAAAAATGTGTTTTTCTTTTCTGTGATCAATTAAAATAAACATTACTATTCATCCAAGGTCTGGCATCCAAAACAATCCACAGTTTTTGCTTTTCTGATCACTAAAAGCTACAGACTTTAAAGAGAAAATAGCTCAAAATACAAAACATTCACTTTTTCTTTGTTTCCTTCTTCCTCTGCCACTTATTATGTGACCTAGGCAGTCTCAATCAAACGAAAAAAAAAAAAAAACGTAATGTATACCAATGATTCAATTACAAAAACAAAAGGAAAAAAAAAATACGTATGTAGGTACTTAAATAATATTCTATGCTTACTAATATTTTTCGTGCACCATTACGTTTCTTGGTTTAGAGCAACAAAATGCATATGTTACTGATCAGACACAAAGCCAACGAGAGCAATGGCGGGATCAACAACGTATGAGGCGAAATTCAATGAGTTCAAGCCAAAGACACGAATATTTAGCACGGCGACGATCCAATTATCGTGTTCAACAAATTCAACGCTCAAACATAATGTTATTTGGTGGTGATGCTGATCAAGTTCAACACCCTAACATAGTGCAATTTGATGAAGGCAGTAGCAATCATGTTGAACGACTAAACATAGTGCCGTTTGGAGAAGGCAGCAGCAATCAAGTTCCAAGAACAATGCGCTTAACTCATATAAGGCAAATTGCCCGATCGAATAGGACACGCTTGCCTCGGGATGGACTAATACAAAGTTTCACTAATAATGGTAATCGCACAAACTACCATAGTACAACTTTGAAAAAAATAAACATCAATATCATCATTACTGTAAACACTACTTATTACCTTACTTCCATTTCATTTGATTATAACAGAAAATACAACAGCGCAATCGTTCAGTTCGAATACTCCAATGAGTCATTGTTATCTGCCCATCATCAATTAAGGTATCATTTTTTTAATATTAATACCTACAATTTCAACTATGCTCTCTAAATCATGAAACACCTTTAATGTTTCCTTTTTAAGCAGATGCTTTTAATCTCATTAATGAAAATGAGATCCAGCCTAACGAGGACGTACCACCTCGACATCATACTATGGGAAGAAGGCCAATTCATAATTGTGCTAGAAACTTTAATGAAAACATGGAAATCCCAAGATTTCACATGCCAAATCCAACCACATGTCCAGATTGTCATGCCCGTTTGTTCTCTCATGAAACATTTGAAATGTGTTGCTTACGTGGAAAGCTTGCTCTACCATTGGCACCGTCCCCTCCTGAAATGACTGAGCTTTTTTGCAACTAATCTGCCGAGGGAAGACATTTTAGGCAGAATATACGAGCTTACAACCACATTTTTGCCTTCACTTCAATGGGAGTTCATGTTGACGAAAACCTAGCAACAGGAAGACGTGGTATTTACACATTTCGTGCTCAAGGTTCCATAAGATTGGAAGTCTTTTGCCTATTAGAGATAGTAGACCGAGATTCCTACAAATGTATATATATGACACAGCTCATGAAATAGACAATCGAATGAGAGAAAGTGAAGCACTAAACAGAGATGTAGTTGAAAAAATCCAACAAATCTTGAATCAATATAATCCATTTGTGCAAACATTTCACCACCTTGCGCAACGTCAAGATTTGCAAAGTTGTAGATTGATTATCAAAGAGCAGCCCGCGAATCAACGACAATATTGTTTACCGTCTGCATCTCAGGTTGCTGCAATCATAGTAGGTGGTGAAGGATCAGAAAACATTAGAGGTCGAGATATTGTTGTGCAAACTACAGATGGTCAACTTAAGAGTATCAAAGACTGTGTCGGCTACTATGACCCTTTACAATATCCATTGTTGTTACCTTATGGAACATATGGATGAGATGTGAATACTCGAAATAACAACAGCAGAAAAGTGACATGTTGTGACTATTATTCGTATCTTCTTCAGGTAACCTAAGACCTTCATCTCTATGAATACAATATTAATTTTTAAAACTTATATTGTGTTGAACAATGAATTTTATCATTTTAGATCCGTCAACACGACGAATCGCTTCTACTTCGTGGTGGCCGCCTATTGCAACAATGTAGTTGATAACTACGTCAAGATCGAATCACAAAAGCTTAGATGGATGCGTAATAATCAACACACAATTCGATCTGAATTTTATCGAGGATTGCAAGACTCATTAATTGCAGGACAAAATAATGCAGGTATGAAGCTAATCAGTTTATAATAAAACATATATTCTTTAAGTTCATGTTCTGTCATATTAAATGAGACTTATTAATAGGTTGAAACAAAACAAACATATTTAGACTTATTAACGACCTATAACAAAACAAATACAGGAGACGTCGGTCGTCGTAGGACTATATTACCATCATCTTTTGTTGGTAGTCCCCGAGACATGTATCAAAGGTATCAAGATGCAATGACTTTGGTTCAAAAATATGGAAGACCAGATATTTTCCTAACAATGACATGTAATCCAACTTAGGAAGAAATAAGTGATGAGCTACTACCTGGCCAAACACCACAAGATCGACCAGATTTGCTTACAAGGGTTTTTCGTGCAAAATTTGAAGAGTTGAAGAATGATGTTATAAAAAAAGGTGTTTTAGGCAAAGTTCTTGCATATGTATATGTCATTGAGTTTCAAAAGCGCGGTCTCCCCCATGTTCACATGCTTCTCATGTTAGAAGAAAATGATAAGCTTAATAGTCCAGATGATTATGATCAGGTGGTACGGGCTGAAATACCAAATCCAAATGAAGAGCCTAAATTGTATGGTGCCGTCTTAAGGCATATGATACATGGTCCATGTGGAATACACAATTCACGGTCACCCTGTATGAAACGTGGTAGCTGTAAACGAAATTATCCTAAGCCATTTGCACTAACTACAGTTCAAGGAAATGATTCTTATCCAGTCTATCGTAGAAGAGACAATCATGATCCAATCCCATTAGATCATAATGCACGTATAATGGTGGATAATTGGTGGGTCATTCCGTATAACTCATGGCTACTCCTCAGATATGATTGTCATATTAATGTTGAGATTTGTTGCAGCATTAAGAGTGTTAAGTATCTGTACAAATATGTTTACAAAGGTCCCGATCGAGTAGCTTTTGAAGTCCATCATGAACCTATTCAAGATGAAATAAAGCAGTTTGTTGATGCAAGATGGGTTTGTGCACCTGAAGCTTTATGGAATTTGTAACTAATCGACTTTATCCATCGGTGGAACGATTACAAATTCATCTTCTTGAAGGACAAACTATTCATTTTTACCTTCACCAAAGAGTAGCAGATATTTTGGCAGATGACACTAACTCGACAGAGTTTTTTACCAAGAATACCACTTGCCTGGAAGCACGACAATACTTATACCGGGAATTCCCTGAACGGTTCAAATGGAGTCAAAGAGATAAACTCTGGAGTGAGAGGATGAATAACCATAAAGTTATTGGCCGGATATATGCAGTCTCGCCGAATGAGGGTGAAAAATTCTACTTACGCATCCTTCTTAATCATGTTAGAGGACCAACATCATTTGAGAATTTAAGAACAGTCAATGACATTGTACAACCAACATTTAAGAAGGCAGTGGAATAACGAGGTTTGCTAGAAGATGATGATAGCATCAGATAGTGTCTCTGTGAAGCCACTAACATTCGCATGCCGTCAGCTTTGCGAAGGTTGTTTGTTACCATCTTAGTTTATTGTGAGCCACATGGAGTAAGAAGATTATGGGATGAATTTCATTCATTTATGGTGGAAGATTATTCTGCTTCAAGTACCACAAATAATACTTCTATCTTGAACAAGCTTTTGCAAGACTTGAACAGACTATTAGTGCAACATAATAAGTCTGTATCTGATTACGATTTACCACAAATAACACAAGATTGTGTTAGAGACAACACAATTCCAAGGATAATACAAGATGAAGTTTCACTTGACATCTCTGAAGCAGACCTCAATGCGGTACAAAATCTAAATGAAGACCAAATGGCAGCGTATAACTCGATTGTGTCTGCTATTGAATAACGAGACAATGCCATATTTTTTTGTGGATAGTCCCGGAGGGACATGAAAGACATACTTATATCGTGCTTTGTTAGCAACCTTAAGGAGTAAGGGTCATATTATATTGGCAACAGCAACATCTGGAATTGCAGCAACCATATTGCCAGGTGGAAGGACAGCACACTCTAGATTTAAAATTCCCCTCAGTCCAGATGCATCTTCCACATGTTTTATTAGTATCCAGTCAGATTTGGCAGAATTGATAAGAAAAACATCAGCTGTTGTTTGGGATGAAGCACCAATGGCACACAGGTTTGCATTTGAGGCTCTCGATCGAACGTTCAAAGATATAATGGGCGTTGACCTACCATATGGAGGAAAGGTCATAATCTTTGGAGGAGATTTTCGACAAGTTCTTCCAGTTGTTCCAAAAGGTACAAGATCTGAATTGATGCAAGCAAGTATGATTAATGCTTCATTTTGGGAACACGTGAAAATCATTCGTCTTAGGCATAACATGAGATCCATCAATGATCAAGACTTTTCAGAGTTCTTACTTCATGTTGGTAATGGGGAACAAGAAACTATGATAGACGACATGATGCAATTACCATCATCTATGGTTATTCCATGGAATGGTGAAGAATCCATTGTCCAATTGGTTAATGAAGTTTTCCCCGATTTGGAATGTCATGTATGTGATGCAAGATACTTAGTGGAAAGAGCAATTATAACACCAAAAAATGAGGATGCTGACAAAATCAATAAAATGATCATCGATAAATTTCCGGGGATTGAACATATCTTATACTCTTTCGATTCAGTTGAGGACGATGTGAGAAATTTGTATCAACAAGAATTCTTGAATTCAATCTCACCTGGTGGAATGCCCCCTTATCAGTTAACTTTGAAAAAAGGTGCCCCGATAATGCTTTTGAGAAATATCGATCCGAAGATGGGGTTGTGCAATGGTACAAGACTGGCTTGCCATGAAGCTTACAATAATCTAATTGATGCCGAAATCTTATCTGGACAATTTGCTGGAACTAGAGTGTTTTTACCAAGAATCTCTTTAAAGACCACAGAAAGTGCAGGACTCCCATTCGAAATGATGAGAAAACAGTTTCCAATGAAATTGAGTTTTGCACTAACTATAAATAAATCACAAGGGCAGACAATACCAAATGTGGGTATTTATCTACCAGATCACGTATTCAGTCATGGACAATTGTACGTGGCTTTATCAAGAGGAGTTTCAGCGTCTACAACAAAAGTCTTGGTAAAGAAAGGAGAGTTACACGGTAACGAAGGAGTCTTCACAAGAAATGTTGTGTACAAAGATATCTTGCTTCCCTCGAATTCAACATAAGTTTACATTCTTTCTTTTAATGTTTAATTCCCTTTTTCAACTTTTAATGCACTTCAATTACAAATAATGCTAATATTTGATTTTAACCAAACGCATTAAATTTTCAACAGGACGGAATGATATGAGTTCATGATATTTTTTGGTGTCATGTGCATCAAGGTCAATTAAATTTCTCGGATTGTTTTTTTTTATACTTTTTATTTAACTTTTAGTTGCAACTTAATTATAAGGATATTTTCTGTTATTTATTACTTTTTTTTTTTTACATATTCTAGACAAAATACTTTAGATTCCGCCTGTATTATTAGAGATGATAATCGCCTTTATGTTATGTTTCTATACTTTGAACCAATCCTCACATATAAATACATCTAAAATGTGTAAGTTGCGTGTAGCGTGCCGTGATTTAAAAAGTGTCTTTCGCACGTGCTTGAGAACACCGTAATAGGCATTGCTGCGTGTGAGAGAGTATCCACGTCAACAACTTCAATTTATTGCTTCCAATTAGGAGCAGTCATCTTCTAGATTTCATACCTCACCTCCAAACTTGGTATCATACTTTCTAAAGCATATACATTGAAAACCACAATGGAACAAAACTAACATAATACACATTTAGGGGCGCGTAGCGCCCGTGATGCAAAAATGTCTCTCGCACGCTTGCAGAGAGGCTAGTGTTAAGATAATGAGCAATGTTAGGGAGACTAAATTGGTTATAGATAATTAGATTATTAAATAATTATCTAAGATAATTTTAACTCTAATTAAAACTTAAAAGGAAAATTTTATTAAATAATTGTAATCTCTTTCTACATCCAATTTAAATTTCCCAACTTAAAAATTGAAAATAAAAGTATTGAGATTTAGGTTGAGGAGAAGTTGGCGAAAATAGGGGAAGGCAAAGAGCAGAGTTGCAGTTTTATTGGCAGATACAGACTTGCAATTCGTCTCTTACCCCACTTCATCATCGTTCTCCCTACGCACTTTTCAAAAACGACCATTTCGGAATAAATAGCATTTCAGTCTCCTTAATCTGGAATTTTAAATAATCTTTAGAGTTTTCCTGTTGCTTTGGGTCGTTTTGTCGATAATATTAAGCCATAAGGGCTTCTTTCGGTGATCAAATATTCTGTATCTAAAATGAGTGTGGTTTCTTTGTGTCTCAAGTATTGGCTGACACGTGTTTATAAATTTAAATTTTCTTAATTTTACTGTTATAAACTTTCATACGTGTCAAACAATCATTGAAGTCACAAAGAGGTCACACTCATTTTGGATGCAGAAAATTTTATTTCCACAAATTTCAAACACTTCTTTTTTTTTTTTTTTTTTTTTATAGAAGGGGCAAAAGGATCCAATATGTTAACTCTTATGATATAAGTTTAGAATTGCGTCTCTAAATATATTGTTCTAAGTGTTAACGTCTCTACTTAAACATATTGTTCTAACTGTTAACATACATTTTTTCTTCGTTAGGAGTTTGTCCCACTGGACTTTCCCCGAACAATGTTTTAATTAGGCCATAAATATAAGTTTAGAATTGCGTCTCTAAAATATATTGTTCTAAGTGTTAACGTCTCTACTTAAACATATTGTTCTAACTGTTAACATACATTTTTTCTTCGTTAGGAGTTTGTCCCACCGGACTTTTCCCGAACAATTTTTTAATTAGGCCATAAATATTCTCGCTCAACTTCTGTAAGTTTATATGTCTGCATGTATTACGTGACAGGATGGTCGCCTTTCTTTTCTGTTTTTAGTTTGTCTCATAAAGCAAGAAAATAATGAACAAAAGGATGAAGTAATCCACTCAAATAAATATATTAAAATGTGTAAGCCACGATCAGTGTTTAAAATTCCTCCCGACGCACTTTTCAAAAGAATTTGAGAAAGATATGTAAATGAGGAATAAAGTCTAAACTTCACCTCATACAGGAAAACTTTCAAGTTCAGGCTAAAATCAACATATATTGTTGACATTTCTGACACATCTGTTAAATATTGTAGAAACTCTTATATTCCGTCCAGACCAATGTTTTGACAATCCTTTTTCATTTTAAGTTTTCATCATTCCATCGAAAGCAACTGATATCAGTATCGATATTTGATATATCCGCCGATATTTCTATAAATTTGCATATTGATATTTCTACCAGTACCAACTTTTAGCGCACAACTCTTTTGCATGCGCATGAGCATGTAAAACTTACTAACTCAATGTTTCACTTCCATTGCATACCCAATCAATAATGGGATGCATGTATTTATAATACTTTCACGATTATAACTTGGATTTGAAAACCTTAGATACAAGAAACTTTTGAAAATCAAATTGGTATTACAAATAGAAACCAATAAGATTATATGCACAACTTTAGCTTGCAATAGAGATTAAAAAAAAAAAAAAAACAAGTCCTATAAACTAGGAATGGCTAAAAGGACAAGGAGTTTGAATTGAGTTCCTCAAATTGTGGTGAAATATATGCACGCTGACTTCATCTAACCGCCCCCACAAGCTGACAGGTTTGGGAACAACTGGAAGCTTGGACATGAGTAACTTGAACTGAGACAAAGATAGCCCCTTGTTAAACAAATCAGCAAGCTGGTCGTATGAACAAATATAATTAACCAATAATTCACCATGAACCACCTTCTCCCTGACATAGTGATAATCAACTTCCAAGTGTTTGGTTCGTGAATGAAATACTGGATTAGAAGCTAGAGCTATTGAAGATACATTATTGTTGATTTCTAGTTCAAGGTGATCGTTTGTATTCATTCATCAGTAACAATTACAAGAGAGGGCTCTATATAGAGACCGAGCAAGACTAGCAGCTAAAGACAAAAGACAGCTGCAAGCCACTAAGATGGGCCACTAGTTAAACCAACTAAACTAGATACAAGTTTCTAGGTAAAATATGAAAACAAAACTATGGAGAAAGATGCATGGAACAGCTGCAACACAGTATGGGAGGTATGGAGCTGCAGATGCAGCTTTATCTCATTCACCAAATGACACGTGAATTCACAGTGGCAGCTGCAACTCACATGTGAGTAGATGAAGTTGCAATGCAACTTGTACCTTGAAACTGATTCTGCATATGCAACTAGAACCTTGACCACTGATGACTTCTTTCAACAATTATCACACCAAATTTAAGGACGAACACTTCTTTCAACAATTATCACACCAAATTTGAGGACGAACAAGATGTTAATGCAGATCCTTGAATAAGGACCGGAGTCATGATAACTCAGCGGCAATGTATGCCAATTGCCTGTACTCGGCTTCAGCACTAGACCAAGAAACTGTTTTCTACTTCTTTGCACTCCAAGACACAAGATTTGAACCCAAATAAATACAAAAACCACCAGCGGAATGACGAGTATCAGGATCCCTTGCATAATCTGCATCAAAAAAGGCACTAAATTGTGCAATACCTGGTTTATACAAAGGACCATGATTATGCGTGGCCTTCAAGTAACGTAGGATCCATTTTGCTGCCATCCAGTGAGTATTTTTGGGAGCATGCATAAACTGGCACACTTGATTAACAACATATGACAAATATGTGCGAGAAATTGTGAGGCATTGTAGTGCACCAACAACACTACAATGCACTATTTGTCATATGGTTCTTCCACATACACACTAAGTTTTTGTCTAGAGGGAACTGGGGTAGAAATTGGCTTTGCTTCATTAAACTTGGTATGAGATAGTAAATCTAATGCGTACTTAGATTGACAGTGTATGCATGGCTTTTATATTCTCCACCTTCATTACACTGAAGGGTTTTAATTTGCAAATTAAACATATTTTCAACATTGGCCTTAAATTTTACAAAGATTTCAAATACTTCACTATTGATTTTCATGGAAAAATCCAAGAGTATCGAGAAAAATCATCCACAAGCAACACATAATAATGAAAGCCTTCGTTATAAATAATTGGAGAACACCACACATCAAAATGCAAAAGTTGCAAAGGAAACTGAGAAACTGACTCAGACACCTTGAAAGGTAATTTAGTACTCCTTCCTAAGGGACATGACTTGCAAAAGCTTACATCCGAGGTACCATGAATGGGTACCAATTTATTTGAAATTAAAAACTTAATTATTGAATTGGTAGGGTGACCAAGCTGAGAATGCCATTTTTTCACTAAACACCGAATCCCTACAAAGGCTGAAATTGGATACTTGAGTTGTCTGTCCACTGCCACATGGAAATGGGTATAATCCATTCTCACATCTCCCTCGAAAAAGCATCTTTCGGGTCTTGAGGTCCTTAACAAGGAAAAAATATGGAAAAATTAGTAGATAACAATGGTTATCTAAAGTAAACCTATGGGCATATATAATGTTTTGTGAGGCAGTTGTGCAAGTCAAATGAGCAATCTTTAGTATGTAGTTGATTCAAACCAGAATGAGAGATAGAGATGCCATAGTCATTACCTACACCTCCAATAGTGTCATTACCATTGTACTTTTTAGGATTAACCAAGTTTTGAATTTTAGGAATGATGTGAGCATTGGCACTTGTATTTAATAGCCAAATACCATTCTGTTGTTTGTTGAGAGTGATAGGAGAATACGACATTTTTGTGAGTCTTTTGGCTAGAATTCTTCCTTCAAAGGCAATAGTCATTCTTTGATAACAGTCAAGGGCTAGATGACTTGGTTTGCCACAAATTTGGCAAACAATTCGCTCTTCATTAGAACTAACCCTCTCTCCATTACATGGCATACTGCGAGGGTTGATGCTGTTACGAGGATTGTTTCCACGTTGGTTGAAAGGAAGTCAATAATAGGATGGAGGGCACCTTTTCGAGTCCCTTGAGTGCAGCCACCACCTCAGCCTCAAGAAGTAACAAATGCTTTGACAGATGCGTATTCCACCAAATGAGTAGTGTGCTCAGCCATTCTAAGCTCAGTGGTTAACAGTAGCGCCTCAAGAGTTGGGTAAGTGATTGGTGAATCACAAGCTTGAGAATCACTGAC